TCTCCTCGTCTCTCACCTTCTTTCCAATCTTCTCTCCTCATCCCCATCTTAGTCGCCTACTTACTTATTCTTCTTCTCTCTCCCGGCTTCCGTTATTGCCTTTCTTTTCTCTCTTCACTTCGTTTTTCTCTTCTTTCTGTCTCACTTACTCCCTTGCTATTCTCCCCCTTCCCTTTTCTCTCTGTTTCCAACCCTCCTTTCCCCTCCTCTATCTTTCCCTCCCTCCCTGCTTCCCTTCCTTCCTCCCTCCCTCCCTTCCTTCCTCTCTCCCCTCTCTTTCCCCTCCCCTCTCTTTCCCCTCCCTGCCACTCCCTGCCTCACCTCCCTGTTGTTCGATCAAGAAAGCGAAGCTCTGGAAGGCTTTATGTCAGCTGGAGAAAAACCCGGCGTCCGAGAGATGGAAGAGGAGGAGGAGGAGGAGGAGGAGGAGGAAAGGGAGGAGGGGGAGGAAGGGGAGGAGGGAGAGGAAGAGGAAAGGGAGGAGGAGGAGGAGGAGGAGGAAGGGGAGGATGGAGAGGAAGAGGAAAGGGAGGAGGAGGAGGAGGAAGGGGAGGATGGAGAGGAAGAGGAAAGGGAGGAGGAGGAGGAAGGGGAGGATGGAGAGGAAGAGGAAAGGGAGGAGAAGGAGGAGGAAGAGGAGGAGGAGATGGAGGAAGAGGAGGAGAAGGAAGAGTAAGAGGAGTTAGAAAAAAGGACCAAAAGGAATAAAATGAGGAGGAGGAGGAGAAGCAGAAAACAAAGGAGATAAGGGACGAGGAATGAGGTAAGGAAGAGGAGGATGAAATTAACGAGGGAAGAAAGAAGAGAAGAGGGGGAAAAAAGTCAGAGAAGGAAGAGAAGGAAAGCAAAAGACAAAAAAAAGAAAGGAGAAAGTATACGATTACAATAACAACACTGAGAATAACAATAACAACAACAACAAAAAAAAGAAAAGAACACAACTCGACATTTCAGACCTGAAATCTCAATTCCTTTATACTGTTATCACTGTTATTTCAGCCAGTCATTCTGAAATCAACCCCCCCCGCCCCGCCTCTCTCTCTCTTTCACTCCTTTTCTTCGTTCGTCACTCCCCAACCCCCCCATTGCCTTCCATTCAACGGGGTGATGGAAAATATACAAAGAGGGAGGTGGAGAGAAAGGGAGAGGTGGTGGTGGTGGTGGTGGTGGTGGTGGAGGTGGAGGTGGAGGTGGAGGTGGAGGTGGTGGTGGAGGTGGAGGTGGAGGTGGTGGAGGTGGAGGTGGCGATGATGATGATGATGATGATGATGATGATGATGATGGTGATGATGATAATGATTAGGAGGAGGAGGAGGAGGAGGAGGAGGAGGAGGAGGAGGAGGAGGATGGTGGTGGTGGTGGTGACGATGATGGAGATGAAGATAGAAGAAAATGAAGTCGAGGAGCAAGAGATTACTGGAGATTATTTGAATCTCATAAATTTGCATATATAAATGAAAATGTGTGATAATGACGATATTTATCATTCTCCAAGTCATAATTATATATATATTAGTGCTGGCTCTTACACCGAAGTATTGAACAATCAGAATAACAGAATGGGATATATCATTAATATTTTTTGTATCACCATTCAATTATGTAGGATAATAACGGTAACAGAAACAACAGAAGATTGTGATACTATTAGTGCCATCTATTACCATCATCCTTATTATCATTATTGTATCATCATATATGTTTCATTAACTTTATCATTATTGTATCAATATTGTCCTCATTATTGGCATTATTGTATCAACACCATTCTTATCATTATCACTAATATTATTGTTGTTATCATTACTATTATCATCATCATTATTATTATTGGGATTACTATTATTATCATTATCATTACTATTATTATCATCATCATCATTATTATTCTAGCCATTGTTATGATCATTATTATTACCATTATCATTATCGTTATCATTATCCTTGTTACTATTATTGTCATTGTTGCATCAACCTTATAATGATTACCATTGCCCTTATCATTATTGTTTAAGAATAAAAATTATTACTATTCCTATCATTATCATACCAACAGCATGACTACCATCATTATTTACATCATTATTATAACAGACACTTAATAATCATCACTGGTACTGATGCCATGTTTTTTTCCTTTACATAACCAGAAAAAGAACGAAGGGAAACAAGAGAAAGAGCATAAAACTAAACAAAAGGGAGAACATAATGAGAAAATGAAGGAATGAAATAAGAAGAAAACAAAAGATAAGGCAAAACTGACAGCATTCATTAATCAAATAACCTTAATGGAACGGAATAAAAGAACAATAGATTTCTTCCTCAAGCAGCTTCCTCGGGGGGGAGGGGAGAGGGGGGGAGGGGGGGCGAAGGAGGGTTGTTGAAGAATCAGTGTTTATTGGGCATAAAGTGGGAGCCAGAGAGAGAGAGAGAGAGAGAGAGAGAGAGAGAGAGAGAGAGAGAGAGAGGGAGAGAGAGAGAGAGAGAGAGAGAGAGAGAG